GTTTGTTTTTGAGAGAGAGAGCATGAGCGGTGTGTGTGTGTGGTGGGGGGGGTGTCTTGTTTTTTCATTTGGAGCATATTTCTCTATCTCTACATTTTGCTTGACTTTCTGTGTTTGTTTCTAGAAGTTAGGCAGAATAGCTACTTCTAAACTTGAAGGATTGGTTTGTGTATGGTCATTCTCTGTGTAGACTGTATATGCTTGGCAAGTTTGGCTGGCTTGAACTGTGGCTGGCATGGGCTGGGGGTCCTGGGGCACTTTGTGCTGGAGCTGCCCTGGTGGGATGGCCAGAGCTGAAGTCATGGGCTGGGGGAAGTCCCAGGGCTCTCCACAAAGAGGGTTCCCTGGCAGGACGGCTGAACCTGAAGTGGGTACAAGCCAGTGTGTCCTGAGGCTTTTTGCAGAGAGAGCTCCCTGCCTGAGCAGCTGGAGCTGAGGTAAGGTATGGGGTACAGGGTCCTGGGTGCTCAATGCATAGGGCCATCCTAGCAAGCGGTCTGGGGCCAACGCTGTATGGGTATGGAGTATTCTGGGGTACGTTTTGCCTGTTACTTTGGGGAAACAGCTGGGGCTGTAGTGAATGCTGACCAGGGGTCTCGGTGTGTGCTGTGCTAGGGCTGCCTCAGTGGGACTGCTGGGGCTGGGGTGGGCTAGGGGCCCAGGGCCCCTGAGGTGGTAAGCTGGCTTGGGCACCTGGACTGCATTCATCCATGATATCAATGTGAATGAGGAATGTTAGCCATGCCCTGACCTGCCCCGAGACTTTAAGTAGTTCTCCCACCATTTGGCAGCTTTCTAAGGCTGGATCTTCTGTTATTTTTCCTTTGTTTTTGAGTTCTAGTTAGTTAATATACAGTGTAATAGTTTTGGGTGTACAATTTAGTGATTCAGTGTTTCCATACATCACCCAGTGCTCATCACAAGTGCCCTCCTTAATCCCCATCACCTATTTCATCCATCCCCCCACCTCCTCTTTTCTCCCCCCATGGTTTTTCTTAAATTCCACCTATGACTAAAATCATATGGTATTTGTCTTTCTCTGATTTATTTCACTTAGCATCATACAGTCTAGCTCCATCCATGTCATTGCAAGTACCAAGAGTTCATTCTTTTATGGCTGAATAATATTCCATTGTATATACATACCACATTTTCATCCACTCATTTGTCTAGAAACATTTGGGCTCTTTCCATAATTTGGCTATTGTTGATAATGCTGCTATAAATATTAGGGTGTATGTATCCCTTCAAGTTAGTACTTTTGTATTCTTTGGGTAAATAACCTAGTAGTGCAATTGCTGGATCATAGGGTAGTTCTATTTTTAACTTTCTGAGGAAGCTCCATACTGTTTTCCAGAGCGGCTGCACCATTTTGCATTCCCACCAATAGTTTCAGAGGGTTTCCTCTTCTCCACATCCTCGTCTAGGGCTGGATCTTTTGTATACTAATTGCTCTTTATTTTGAGAGAGACAGAGAGCAAGCGAGCACGAACAGAGGAGGGGCAGAGAGAGGGAGATCGAGAATCCCAAGCAGGCTCTGTGTTGTCTGTGCAGAGCCTGACCTGGGGCTCGATCCCACAGACTAGGAGATCAAGACCTGAGCTGAAATCAAGAGCCAGACACTTTAACTGACTGAGCCACCCGGGCACCCCTGCTAGTGGCTCTTTTAAACGCCAGATTTTCCTCTTTGTCCTGCAACAGGGGAATTTGTTGAGGGGCCCCCAGGACTATCCCTCATTACAGTTTGCAGTGCCAGGATGGGGGTTCATTACCTTGTCAGGAAAACTTTTAATCCTGAATGATGTCCTTAGTTTTGTTTCCTTATAGTTGTTTTCTCCATCAGGAAAGGTTATTGGAATACGAGTAAACTACCATAAACTAACAAAACCAACACTGGTAAAAAAAAAAAAAAAAAAAAAAAAGGCTTTTCACTTCTAATTCCTATATATTGATATATTCTAGTTTATCCTACCTTCCTATAAAAGGACTTGAGGCTAATGTTGAAGTGAGATACAAGGGAATGTAACTAAAGCAATTTGCTAAGGTATGACGTGCCCTGTGCGTGCTGATGAAGAGGGTCTCCTGTTTCATAGCCTAGAAAGCATCCCGATGTGGGTCACTTCCAAGCAGTAAGAGGGGTTCTACGATAGATGGCCTTCGTGAAACCTCAGACTGCTCCAGTATTCTCCCGACTAAAAACAAAACAAAACTCAAACAATAACAGACAATAGGTATCATTAACAGTGCTTTTATTTACAAAGAATTATTTTTATTTGGCTGTTTGGAAAACCACTAACATTTTTCACTTTAGAAAACATTAAATAATAAACAAGATGTTATACAGTACTTTGGATAACTTCTGTCAGTTTAGTGCAATCCATTATTGGCACCTAAAAGTGACATTTTCAATTATTTCCCCCTTTCCTCTTCACTTGTGCAGTTAAATGACCACAAAGGAAATGAATCATTAAAAATGGATCTAAAGCCATACCATCTGGCCCCTATTCAAAGGCTCACAGATTTACATCCCTGCTCCCATCCTGCCTTCACCAAGTGAAATGACTAAAGATACTCTGTTGGTAATTTTTTTTTTTTTGGAAAAATAGGTGAATTTGTGGAACTTGGGAGATTCCCATTGACAAATGAAACTGAATTATAGCGGCTGGGTGAAGCAAGGATCCTGAAACTGGTGTTGAGCATAGCATAGCACTCTCTATCAGTGGCCAATTTGTCACATACATTGCAGAGAGAATGCACCAGATTAAAAAAAAACAAAAAACAACTCTCTAGCCTCTGTTCCTTGCTATGGTCTCTTTAAAAACCTGAACTATCATCCACTGAACAGGTGAAAGGGTTATACTTTTACCAAAAAAAGAAATGAACCCTACCACATTAGGACATCGAGATAGGGAAAAAAAAAAACCAAAAACAAAAACAAAAAACAATATTCTTAAAAGAGTATGATGGACAGATATTTTACTCTTTTAATCCTGTTAGGTTTGCCATAAAGGGAGAGATCTTTCAGTGAGCTCCCCATTTGATGGGTTTTTTCCCCCTTTTGATTCTCCTCCATTAGGAGGCTAAGAGGTAAATGCCTAAATTAGACCTTGGCCTCATCCGAATGACTAAATTCCGAAGATTTTCATTACCTAGTAATAGGATCAAAACAGCTTTTGGAAGATCTGTAATCTGTCACTCTATCTTGATGTAAGAACATCTTTAACCATCTTAAATAAACACATTTTTATCTATTTTTAAACCTTCGAAGAGGGTGAGGGAGAAAGAGAAAAGAGAGGGAGAGAAAGAAGAGAGACAGGGAGAGGGAGAGAAATAGAAGGGGGAGAGGGAGAGAAAGAAGAGAGGGAGAGAGATTAACTTTTTTTTTTTAACAAAGGATTCTAATTTAACAATTGTCCCTGCCAGGAAATGCCCCCTCACACTCCAGTCTAGGCCTGTTTCCTCTTGTTCTATTCTTAGCGCATATGGAGAACAGCTGGTCACCATCCTCTCTGTACCAACCATTCATACACTTGAAAACCAGCAATGGTTTGCCCCTCAGTCTTCTCTTCTCCACGCTGGATAATCCCAGTTCCTTTAATTTTTCATCATAGATCTTTTTTTCCAACCCTTTAATCATCTTTGTGATTCCTGGCAAAAACAGCAGAGAATATTTTGATTACTTAATCAGGAATGAAGTAAAAGCCTCAGGACTAAGTTGCCTTTTAAAAGTTAGGTATTTTTTTCATATATAGGTAAAATCGGCAGGGAGGAAATGTGGTTGGGGGGGGGGGTTCCCAGATTTTATTGCTCTAATGTGTGCGTGAGTCCCATTCCAACACATCAATGCGTCCAGGCACAGGACCTGCTCCCTGACCCATTCTGACAAGACGGCACATACATTAGGAGCTAGACCTGCCTACATGTATGCGGATCTAAAACAGTATGAAAACCTGTCCCAACGGAGCTTCCCCCACACTTCCCCTCACCCTTCCATAAACAGGATCTTTTCTCTGAAACAACCAGAACTTTTACAACATGTTTTACTGATTACCAAAGAGAGCCATGTTATTATGGTAAAAACTGTTGGTTTTAAAGTATACCCTGGAACAGTGAGAGTTTTATATGTAAACTTCAGCTTCTTGTCCACATGAATGGTTCACTATCCTGTATCGTGATCAAACTCAAGGCCATGAAAAAATTCATCCCTCCACTACCACACCTGACATCTCTTCCAATTTTCTCTTGCTGCCAAAATAAGGTCATGGAACTGGATGACATTTCACTGGGTATTTTTTAATTCAAGAGCTCGCAAGCTGCCTTTTCCCTTGCAACTAGAGTCTGTATATATTAGGAACACGTAACTACTTAGTATCAATAGCACATTTACACGAAACACAATACTACTAACGAGGGATTACGTGTCCATTCTACGTCATGTCTTTAAAAGAAAAATACAGATAACGAGAATAAATGCATCTTGATAAGTTACACACCCTTCTTTTATAAAGTGAATGGCAGTAAAAGTCAGAGTTCAGGTCAGGCCAGAGCTAAGAAGCCAAGGGGAGAAACCAATTTCACAAGCACATTGTACATCTCTTAGGGGAAGTCAATACTACTCATGGTACAACACTGAACAGATAACAGAATGGCCATTTGCACAGATTTCCTTTGAAAACTTCTCCCATGGTTTGCTACTAGGAACACCTGTAACCAGAAGGAACGATGGCACAGATCACATGCCAGGGCCCTTCCCAAAAAAGACACAGGATGGAAAGCAACACCGAAAGCTGGCTTGGATGTGTCTACAGGTGCCCCCTATATTCCAAGGAGGGTGTCACTATTCACTGGAATTGCACAAAAGCAGGCCAGCAAGGTGTGGGTCACCCACCAGACTTTCTCTTGACCCACTGACCCATTCTTCTGCTAGGCCTGATAAGAGGGAGGAGAGGACAGGAGGTGAAGATTGGAAAAAGAAAAGAGCCACAGGGGGGAGTTCATTGCTAGTTCGGGAGTTGCTCGCGTTCTTCAGAGCAGTGGCCTTTTCTCAGGCTCACATCATCCAATCCAATCTCCCCAGTGTGGCCACGCCTTTTTTCACCTCTGAAGATGACCTAGGGAGAGAATGCACACACCAGTCAAGCCTCCTCTGCCCCTTCCCAATGCCCATTCGTTTCACAAAATAAAGGCAAACGTTCCCCCAAAACCAAACAGTAAACTTACTCGACAGAAGGAAAGACTAGAACATAGCCAGGGTCACCTGAGGCTTGCCTTTTGGTAGAAACTGAAATCATGAGTAAACTGTTAATCAGACACATGTTACTCTTTAAAAAGCCATTCTGAATGACAGACTACTTCAGTTTAGGAATGGTTATGAAGCGGACACTTTGTGAAAGATTACCAAGGACAGAAATAAATGAGACAGATATAAAGATGTAGAAATAAGAGCCAAAACTCTGGAAGATCATAATCATGCTGCCTATCGTGGATGTTTGCTATTTCCTCCTTGGGTTAGGCTGACTTTGTTGGCCTAAAATGGACTCAGACCAAACACCACACTGAAATCACAGTGTTGTTTTACCTACGTAAAGAACAAAAAATTTCTTGTATTTTACCTTCTGTAGATCATCCTTGCTTTTTTAAAAACAGAAACCTTCCTGTGCTAGGATTTGAAATGCCTTTTTTTTTCCAGACAATGTTACACTTTTTTTCAAAGAGTACAATAAATCTAAGACTGATAAAAGCGTATATAAATGGAGTCTATCCCTTTTAACATAGTTTCTCGAAACTATATCTGTGGTCACCTAAGCATAATCTCCTAATAGCAAGGTTTATGAATAGGAGCATAAAGATGCTCCTCCAAAAACATTATTTCGGCGGGATGCTATAGTGCACCTTATTGCCACCTATGACTTGATTACTTAAGATAAAACTTACATACTCAATCAAAGCTTTTCCCACATCCTCTCCTGAATAGGACTTCCCAAGCATATTGTTCTGGGTTCCCACCCAAGGCTGTTTAACTATGATCTCTGAGGCAAAGGGGAAAAAAAAAAAAAGACTTTAAAAAAAATACTTCAAAAAAGAAAAAAGAAACACTTTAGGGTAACTCTGAAAAATAAAGGAGTTGAAGAAAAAGGAAAAGCAGCAACAGTTCAGCTCACCCCCTCTGCCCTTTCAAGTTGCTGTTAACTTTTTTTTTTTCCTTTTCGATTCCTGAATTTTCTTCACTAAAAATAGGGGATTTTCACCAAGGCTTGGGGGAGAGTGGCAGTGATCAGAGGTTGCAACGAAGAACATAAGCAGCAGCAAAAGGGATTAAAGGAAGAGGCAATGAATGAACGGAGCTCTCATACCCAGAAACACAAAGCTTTGTGCCTGAATTAATGAAGAGAACAAGGCTTCTTCAGATTCAGATCCTACAGTTCTCCTCTGAAAGGAAAACTTCCCAGGCTCTGCCTCCTTCGAGGTTCTACTTACGCTCTTGACGTCAGCCCCTCGCAAGGTGATCTGTGTGTGCCTCCAGCCACGGCCACCATTTCTTCCCCACAGGGCTGCTCCGTGGGCACCGTGTTTTCTCACAAACACCTGGAGCGTGCCGGAGTGCAGCCCAGTCACCTTGTGCCTGAACGACAGGCACAGGTCCCCTGAATGCATGAGGTGGCCGAGAGGTAGCACCAAGCGAGCGGCCTTTCCCCCTGGGCCTTTGGCTCCCGAGACTGTCAGATATTGTCCACCTGGAATGGGAAAAGTAGGGCTGTGTGTGTATGTGCCGACATCCCTTTCTAGCACAGACAGCATGGATGGCGAAACTTAAGTCAGATTTACTTTGCAGAAACTGCAAACTGGGATAGTCCCTTGTACAGAATTCCACATTTGCGGGGGTGGGGAGGAGGATCTTATTTCTATGCCTACTTTAAATTCTATGGTTTGTGTTTACAGAAAATACTTGGCTCCTGGAGAGTACAAATTATGGCAAGGACACGATAGATAATTAGTAATCCTAACACCATGAATATTTCCTGCTGAGTATGAGCAGACATACACGGGAAGACACAAGCTCCCCATCTCCTGATCCTCACCAGCGTCTGATTATGTTGTCAAGCTGGCTGGCTGGCTGACTCTAAATTGTCAGGGAGAATTTTCTATGTGGATAATTAACCTCCAGGCAGCAGAGCAGACGGTGATCTAAAGGGGCACTGGATCTGTTTATTCTCTCTTCTCTCCACTTTTTTTTTTAATCTCTAAAGCAAGAAGGGTCCTTTGCAAAGGTCAGTTTTGCTGTTTTTCTTACATGGGAATACGTCTAATCAATCCCAGGAAGATGCAGAGGTGTTCTGGAAACCTCTACATCTTCCTGGAGCATCACTTTTTTTTGTAGGTAAGTAGCTTAAGACATGTTTATATCAAAGCAAATCTGTAACATGATACATAATATATAGAATGTTTATTACATTTACATGTACACAAATTAATAAACACTTTCAATTTGGACAAATCAGTCTGATGATGTCCTCAGATCCCTAGGGCTACAGAGTTTGCTTCCCCCTATTGTTAGAGTAACCACAATAGTGGGGGGCGGGTAGTTTAAGGAGCAGTGAAGTGGGGGGATACTGCTTCCCAAGAGAGGGAAAGTTGCAAGTAGTATTTGGAAACAGTCCATATACAAGTGACATCCCCCCACCAGCTGTTTTATTACAGCCAACTGAAAAACAACCCTGTGTTTCAGCACTGATTTGTCCGTAAGAAATATGTGGTTGGAATGCTGACCACATGTACCTGTTTTGGTAGAGACACTACTTATTTCTCAGTTAAAAGATAAACCATCCTTTCTTATGCTTAATCTGTGTAAGACAAGATTATTTGGGGGATGTCCTGTTCTTCAAGTGACTGCTCTACTAAGTTCCCTCTGAGCGTTCAAAGGACCAAATAGGCGACTAGCATATACTTCCCGGTGCCAGGCTCTTTAAAGGGAACACCTTCAGCCCTGCTAACTGGTCTCTGAAGTGAACATGAATTTGGCTTGTTGTGCACCTGCAGAAACTAAGGCTTGGAGAGGTGAGGGCACCCAAGGGGTCGTCTAGCCAGTGAGGGGCAGGGAAACACTTTGCGCTCAGAACTGCCTGGCCTCCTATGCAGCGCCTGCTGCTCTCAGACTGAAATCCCTGGCTTACGGGTTTCTGTCCCCCAGCAGACCGTGAACTCGTTGATGTCAGGACCAACCTTTCCTCCAAACCACCCCATTTTACATTCCTGCCACATGGTAGGGCTTTGAGGTCATGTGTTGAATAAAGGATATTCCAAGAACACAGCAAAAACCTGAGGGGAAATAGGTCCTTGAGGCATGTACTTGACTCAGCGAACACACACATATTTCTTTTCCTCCTGTCCCTGTGCCTTGCCAAATTAATCCAAACAATATTTGGGGCCAAAACATTTAGCTGGGGCTTACATGTCTCCCCGTAAGTCAGCTTTGAATCATCACAGGTATTTGGGTTAAGACTAAGATATAAGGTTATTACAGTTAACCTGCAAGTTTTAAGAAAACAAGGATTACCTTAAGACCCTGTGGAATGTTCGCTAATATCTCTATGCCAGACACTGCAGGCAAACCACGACATCCTGACGAGAGTCAACTAGTCCTTTTGCACAGGTATTTAAAGCTACAGCGTAAATCACGGTGAGCGGTGAGCGAGGCCACCACTGCTCTTCCTCTATAGAGTTGCTCTGGGGGAACCAGGTTTTTGTTTTACGTTAAAGGATTCTTTCCCTTTTTAAAAGGAAATGTTACCAGGGTGCGGTGGTAGCTAAGGGAAAAATGGATCTCGTGCTTCAAACAAGTTACCTATTAGATAAAAATTTTACTTCTGATTCCAAAATACTGGTTTAAATATAAAACTATATTAGGCACTTTCATGGTTTCAGTTTAAAGCATTATAGTATCCAAAGTGTTTTTTTTTTTATTTGAGAAACAATAAATGCTGCAGAACTTGCCAGAAAGTTAAGCGATAAAATTTGAATGTACTTATTTGTAACTCTACACTGGTTTGTGCCTTTACAACTTCAATTTACAAAGACAACAACATAATGTCCATTACCTTACCTATTAATTGTGTGGCCAAAAGAAAATGAGGGGGAGTTTGGCAGTTTTACTTATACATCATGGCCTTGCTGAGAAACCAGCCCAGCTAGACAACTAAGATCATTACAGTTTGCTGGGATTTACCTCTCAAATACAAAGGGCTTAATTTTTTGTTTTTAAAAAAAATTTTTAATGTTTATTATTGAGAGAGACACAGAGCGTGAGCAGGGGAGGGGTAGAGAGAGGGGGAGACACAGAATCTGAAGTAGGCTCCAGGCTCTGAGCTGTCAGCACAGAGCCCCATGCAGGGCTCGAACTCACGAACGGTGAGATCGTGACCTGAGCCAAAGTCAGACACTTAACCGACTGAGCCACCCAGGCACTCCAATTTTTTGTTTTTTAAACAGAAGTAATACAGTAATGCCCACTGTAGGAAAAACAGAAGTACAAAAGCATAGAGAAAATTTAAATAAGCCATGATCCCAAAAGCCAGAGATAATTACTAACATTTTAACTTCTGAACATTGTCCTATGGAGATATATGAATGCTAATGCACATGAGTATAAACATTTTCCCAGTGTGGTAACTTCCTTTTTTTCATGAAATATATTAGCCATTTTTCTATGTCAACAAATAGACATTTTTCATAGCTCCAAGCATGCCATTAATAATTTAGCCAGTTTCTTAGTGAAGAACATTTAAGTTTCAAATTTTTATTTAAAAGTTTTTTTTTGTAATTTCAAGTTTTTATTTAAATTCTAGTTAGTTAACATACAGTATTAGTTTCAGGAGTAGACTTTAGTGATTCATCACTTACACGCGTGATCATAGCAAACGCCCTCCAAATTTTTACTTTTAAGATGAAAATAGCATAAAACAGTAAGATGAGCAAAAAAAAAATCTGAAAAACATAAAAAGAACCAAGTTCCCTTTTTATCTAAAGAGCTTTACAAATCAAACATGCACAAAATAAAGGGCATCATAGAGAAAAAATTACTTAAATCCTGTGAAAAGTTGACCATCTTTTCCTATAAGAGAAAGTCAAATTAAAAGGGGAGGCCTTGTCACATTTAAATTTGGCAAGGATAAAAATAATTTAGGGGCAGCTGAGTGGCTCAGTCAGGTAAGTGTCCCGCTCTTGATTTTTGGCTCAGGTTGTGATCTCACAGTTTGTGGGATTGAGAGCCCCATCGGGATTCACACAGACATTGTGGGGGCCTTAGAATTCTCTCTAACCCCCTCTCTCTGCCCCTCCCCTGCGTGCATGTGCTCTCTCTCAACCTTAAAAAAAAATAGTTGGGTAAGATCTATTGGGAATGGTTCTTAAATATTATTGGCAGAAGCATAAATTGCTACAACTCTTATGAAGGGCAATTTTGAGAACTTATCAAAATTCAAAATGCTAATTCCCTGTGACCTAGCCATTCCAATTTAGGAATTTATCCTACAGATATATTCAAGTGTATATGAAATGTTACATGGACAATCTTCACTGGAGCACTGTTCTGCTGAAATGTGCCTCAGTGGATGGCTGGTTAAATACAGTGTGGTACATCAAAGAAGGAATGGAGTTAACAGCCATAAATAAGAATTAAGGGTGTTCTGTTTACAGGACAATCTTCAACAACAATAGCTAATACTGTTTTATTGGTAACTGTGGGCCAGGCACTGCTTTAAATATTTTACATATGTTTAATAGATATTACCATCTCCACTTAAATAACTTGCTCCAAGTCAAAGCTAGTGAGTAGTGGCACTGGGTTTCAGCCCAAGCCTTTGGGCTTCAAAGTCCATGTGCCTCTAAACTCTTCAAAGACAGTATCTTCTGGGGTACCTGAGTGGCTCAGTCAGTTAAGCATTGAACTTTGGCTCAGGTTTTAAGTTCACAGTATGAGTTCAAGCCCTACCTCGGGCTCTCTGCTGCCAGAACTGAGCCCTACTTTGGATCCTCTGTCTCCCCCTCTTTGCCCCTCCCGGCTCATGCATACTCACTGGCTGTCTCAAAAATAAGACATTAAAAAAACGAAAGGACAGTATCTTCAAATGACAAAAGCAAGATGCTGTTGTGTAGAAAAAGATCCCTCTGGAAAGATAAGCAAGAAACTAGTTGCATCTGGAGAGGGTAAGTGGGAGCCAGGGCTGGGAGAGGGAGCTTGTATTTTCACTGTTGATTTGTTTTTCCATGTTTGTGTATTTCAAAATAATATTTAATGCTGCAACAGACACGCTTGCATGTACATGCTGGCTTACTTGCTATATATTTAAGTGAGTAGTGATCAGTAGTAGAGCATTGAGTCAGCTTCCTTTAACCCTGATCCCCAGAGATTGGGGTTTCAGGAAAAGCCCCCACCCCCATCCTGGGGTCAAGCCTTGACATTTATAGAAGGGTGTGTCTTCAGGGCCACAGCCACATGCCTGCAGCATATCACATCAGTCAGCAGCACAATCTTCTCTGTCCCTTAGAGGCATGTATTAATTCCACTATCTCACAATTAGGTTGAAGACTGAATGTAATAAACAAAACCTAATGAGCACCAGGAAGAAGGGCCAGCAAATGAATTTACTTTGCAGCTGTTTCTCAAAGTTGTAAGTGTGTTTTAATTGAGGGTTTTCTTAGAGATATTAGCATATGAGAATATCTGCAGATCTGGATCTTGCATAAGAAATGCACATTAAAATCAGTCATAACTGTGGAAATCCAAATATATATTCCTTTACAAATGGCATAATCTAGATAGAAGCAAGTAAACAATAAGCTTGGTAATTAGGCAATACAAAGGAATCATTTATTAAATTGGTTATATTCTGCTCTGGTCTTAGCTTGTGATACACACACACTCACACCCCTGAACTTCCTAGAAGAAAAACAGGCATTTTTCATACTAAGCTTTAATAGTATTTCCATCAGTATTTGGTTAGATTTTCCCAACATATTCTAAAAAGTTTGTCTGCAATTCCACCATGACATATGCCACGCATTGCTGTCCCTTCTTTCACTCTGCCACCCTTTGGTCTTCCATCCACTTTCCAAGCCAGAGCCCTGCTGCTCAGTAATCTCTTTGGGATGACCTGGGGGCATTCGAATCTGAGTCAGAGGCTCTTGGAGGCTGTGTATGAGGTTTTCTAATTCAACCCTTATCCACTGCTCAAAACAACCTCTTGCTGTATGTCACCCAAACACCCCCACCAGGGGAGACCTCCCTATTTCCATGTCATTCTGTTCTTTTTAGACAGCTCTGTTGATTGCAAAGTTCCGAGAGTGAACCAAAACTGATCTTCCTGTAGCTTTTACCTACTGATCTGACTTCTCATCCCCTTGTTGTTGGTCAAGTATTTGAAAAGCAGTCTTGCTCCATAACTTCTTCCCCAAGCTAAACATTTTGGTTCTTCACTTGTTTCCCATAGGCTTCAAGCTACCTTTCCATCTAGGTCATTTTCTTATGAGTGACCTACAATTATCTCTATTCTTTTCAGATGAGAAAGAACCCACCAAAGTGGATTTTCCACTCTGGAAAAAATATCCTATGTCTATGGAAATGACAGTGATGACACAGATTCCATTCAAAAAGGCTTTCACCTCTCTTTTTTGAGTAACTTCCCTGTGCATCCTAGCTATCAACAGAAGGGAGGAGGGAAGGGACAAAAGCAGAGAAGGAACATGTTTTACCTGCTGGCCCCTTACATGAGCCAGTCTGAGCTGGACTGGAGATGAGGGCCTGAGAAGCTCCCCCTGATTGTCCTGAAGTTACCTGCAGCTCGTTATAATACTAAGATTTCTTCCTAGGGGCAGTTTTATGCCATCTTTTGAATATACGATGTATGCACCCGCATGCCTACATGCTAGGTGTGCACAGCTGAACCAAAAAATGCCTATGCAAGCCTCCTGCCCCTTCCCCCTAATACACTGAATGAAAGCTTCCTGTACTAACCCCACGGGGAGACAGTGCCTTGAGAGCTAGCTCCCTGTCTCCTTCCTTGGAACAATAAAAAGTTCCTAATTTTCAACATTTCCTGAAGTTTTCAGTCTGACCCCTAGAATCTGTTTACACTAAGGCACTTCCTCCCCTTCCCACACGTTGTGTAGTTGGTTTCTAGACCATGAGCCATACCTTGCACTCACTCTCCATATATTTCACCCTCTTAAATATCGCCTATTGATCTAATGTTTTAGAGCTAATTTTTTTCAGCACACACTGCCACTTTCTCCTTGGGCTCTGAGTCATTCTACTCCGTTTGGCTGGTATGCCTTCAATATGCAAGTTCAAGATCCAATTCATCCAAATTGGTAAAACCTGGAGCAACCCCAGAAGCTCATCCTCCAGGGGCCAGAATCAATCATCAAGAGCTACCCAGTCACCCAAACAGCCATCACTTCCTTTCAGTTTGTTCTGTTCTGTCATAGCCAAATGGCCATTCCAAACGTTTTTGTCTACCATTCTAATTTCCAATCCTCTCTCTCAGAGGGCAAGTGGAATTTGGGGCACAACAAATTTAAACATCAACATAGGTAATGACTAATAAAAAGTGTTTAAATACTATGCTTTAGAACCAATTTAGTATTTTAATTCTGAAAATCAAGTATTTTACATAGATTTTCTACATAGGATGCCTACATGGAAGTATAATGAATTCTTCTGAGTTTAGCATGAATTATTTTCACAATGTACCTTACTTGAGTTACTCGTTATGGCCATGAACGGTGTGTACCAGCCTGTCACACATGACTGCTAAAGCTCCCTCATCCTGTAGCAAACTACTTCAGGTCAGTGGTCAGTCAAACCTACAGTCCTGACATCTGCTGATCATAGACAGTGCACCTGCCGGAGAAGGCTGAAGCCACAGGAGGTACAGGGACACCTGGAGGGGAAGTCCCTTGTTTAGCTTTGTGGCCTGAGGAAATGTATACCACCTCCGGGCCTCAGGATCTCCTTTGTGAAACAGGACAATACTACCTGCTTCACAGGATAAGAGTAGATTAAACGGAACCAATGAGATGATGAATGAGTCAGGACTACAGTAGATATTAAATACATGGTTTCTCTCTTATTCACAGATATTTGTGACATTAATAACAACGTCATGCCCTGGGGTGCCTGGGTGGCTCAGTCGGTTGAGCATCCGACTCTTGGTTTCGGCTCAGGTCATGATCTAGAGGTTTGTGGGATCTGGCCCCATGCGGGACTCTGTGCTAACAGCAAGGAGCCTGCTTGGGATTCTCTCTCTGCCCCCTTCCCTACTCTTATTCCAACTCTCTCAAAAATGAACAAACAGATAACGTCTTGCTCAGAGTCACCTTAAATGAGAAGAGTGTTTGCGGGAGGCAGGCGGGTGGGGGGTCACTAAAATTTATTTTATAGCTAAGAGAAATCTAAAAACCCATTTAAGCTTATTGAATATTCATATTGTAAAAGCTTACTTCAAATTTTCATTAAAAAAAATCTGTTATATTGCTACTGTAGAGCTACTCAGGCACCCCAGGAAGCATGCAATTTAAAAGTCTTAATTTTCCAAGCAGCTATGTCTAACTCAACCTTTCTAATAACATTCTCTTGTGGAATAAATGGTAGTAATTTGTAATTAATTTCACCAGCATCTAAAGTAGACTGAAACTTTTTCCAGAGAAATATTCACAACTTCACAGAAATTTCCAGTGTCTCTTTCTGCAATGTGTCAAATCTTTAAAAAGACCTAATTGAGAAAATAACTAGGGACTACCACCATGGCTGATGTACCATGATATTACTTCTTTCATGCTCGGGAATGGGGCACTATAAATAACTTGAAAAATATATGTTAGAATGAGTCTAAATGTTTTACTTACCAACCTCTGTGAGGGAAATTAGCTGGCCTTTTAGTGAACTACTTGTCTTCCCATAATATTATTCTAGTTTATTGCTAACAAGTTTAATTCACTTAAAAAATGGAATATGAAATGCTAAACGAGATCTTTCTTTACTGAATAAAGAGGGTAAACACAGAGGCATGTTACAGTGTTCTTGATTGTCAGAACTAGGACCCTCAGAGAGGATCAAACTGCTCTATATTAACTAGTTTTACCTGCTGGATCTCTAACTGGTTCCCAGTGCAAGTCACTGTCTTTTTCTCTGATCCATCCACAAAGCCCATGGTCGAAATTACAACTGTGTATCAGAACACCTATGAGAAAATGACCAGAAAGATGAGTAGACCGCAAACCCAATGACTAACAATAAAAACAAATTTGTTCTCTGTCTGTACACATGTTCTCTTCTAGCCACATAGAACTACCCCACCAGATATCAAAGATCACACGAATCCTGACTTAGAACAATTGTGCCCGTGTGTTCAGCTGTAAGAATAGAACATGCCAATGTTGCCAAATTATGACCTTGTTACATCATCAATTACAACACATGACTTCCTCCTCACAGTTGAAGTGCAGCTTTAATATTTTTTTAAAAGAAGATAATGATGATATATCATGATTTTCACTTAACAATTGTGGAACCGCAAAGGAAACCGAGTTGTAAAAAATAAAGTATGTTTTTCCCAGACATAACTAAATAATCTACAATTTAAAAGCCATTTTCATGAAATGGAAGGAGACACTAAAATGCCATTGTAACACTACAAAAATGTAAGTATCTACCTGGATCATCCTTCGCTTCATCGTCTGCACTGACTCCTCTTTCAATTTCAAATATTTCAAACAAGTCATTTGAAGGCTGCCGTGGAACTGCGAGAGAGAGAAGTTTGGTTTGGTTTGAGGAGGTATTGATAAAGGGCCATGCCTTTAATCACAGCGTAGGGGGAGAAGACCCAGGCATTTCATTCATCCGAAGAATCCAAAATATTTAATTAAAAATATTACATGTCACGTTAAGATTCACGCGGTTTGTTCTACAGGCACTTCTACTATAACACTTATCGGAGTACAATTTTTGAAAATGTTTTTCAAGTGTTTCTAAAAGTCAACGTAAAAAAATTAAAAAGTCTTTGCCTGAAGAATACATTTTAAAAGAGCTACCCGTTTCTGGCAAAATATTCACCTCTGTCAAATTCTAGAATTTGTTTCTATGAAAAGATACATTATGAACTCTTAATTAAGGCTGTTTTTTAGTGGAAACTGCCTGCAACTGCAGTGAATGGTTTGATTTTCTAGCCACAGCATCAACTCGTCTCCAGTGAATGCTGCCCGCGGCTGAACTCCATCCACAATTCTTACCATCTCTAGGTTCCCTGGCTCCTTAAAGATCAGATCCAAACTCGCTGGGGAAGGATTCACAACTCACCCCCTAAAACACACATCACTGTCCAAACACACCATTCGTTTTCATATCTCTGACTCCATCCCCAGCTTGGGATCCTCTTGTTCCTACTAGTTGACCTGCCAAACTTCCCCCTCTTCCTGCAAAGACCCAATGCAAACATCCCTGTCTGGGTAAAAACGTTCATGCCCCAGGCGAATCAAATTCTTTCCTTTTGTATCCCGCAAAGACTCGTGTTCGCATCTCTATTACAACCTTCCATAGAGAACTGTAGTTCTTCACATAGATGCACGTCTGTCCCTCTAGGTTCTGAGGTCCAGGATGGCATCAGTCACGTCCTATTCATATGGCATTTCCAGGGCGTGACCTGGAGACAGGCCCTCAATAAGTGTTTACTGAATGAATGTGAAAATCTTATCAGAGACTCACATTTTGTCAACCCTTTTCCTCAAGTGAACCAACTGGGCCAGAGCTGAAGAATCCATTTTTTAAAAAACGGAGTCATTTAAAGCATTAGTTATTATTCAATATACATTTGTCCCCCATATACCAAGAACCATGGTAGCCAAGGGGACAGGCAATAGGGTGAACAAGACCGACAAGGACCTGGCCCTCAGGGAGACTGCATTCTAGCTAGACAGGCCAACATTAAACATGTAGCTAAATCCACACTGCAATTCTAAATTCTGATGAGGGCTGCAAAGGAAAACCACCAGAAGATGTCATGAAGAGTAACTGGGATGGGGATGGAGGGAGTATGTGGGAATGTTGGTGGAGGGGAATTCCTGGCCAAAGACCAGGGCACACTCCCTTTTCTACGCCAGAACTTAGATTCATTAACTATATTTTTATAAGGCAGGGAGTAAAAGATGTAGAACACCAAGGAACAGACATTAGTCAGAAGGGTTCTTTTTCAACAATGTTCCTATTATTTTTAGCAAGAATTTTTTTTAATTAACAATCCCATAATATTCACACTGATGGTTTTTATTTTGCTTACTGCTTTTCAAGTTTTTCCCTTTTTGTTTCAAAAGTCCAAACAGTGGATACCCATCTCCTCTCCACACACACACTCACATATACCCAGCCTGAAAGGGATGGGAGAGAAGCCAGTCCATAGACCAGCTCTAGGGATATAACCTGATCGCAGGTGCCCTGGGCTGAGGTAACTGGCTATCCTCTTAAGTTTTTTTTTTAAACACTTATTTATTTTTGAGAGAGTGAGACAGTGCGTGAGTCGGAGAGGGGCAGAGAGAGGGGGAGACACAGAATACAAAGCAGGCTCCAGGCTCTGAGCTGTCAGCACAGAGCCCAACGTGGGGCTTGAACTCACAGACCGTGAGATCATGACCTGAGCTGAAGTCAGACACTCAACCGACGCTCCTGCTCCTTCTCCCCTCTCTGTCTCTCTCTCCCCTACGAGCCACCCTCTTTCATAGCCAAAGGACTAACAGCAACAATATCCATTTTATAGCTTTCCTTTCTTCCTTTGGGCCTCTAAGAGGGAGATTGCCTCTTATTTACTAGAAATATTATAAAGTTGTAAGCAATTATGCTTCATTTCTCATTATATAGAGAAAGTGTAAAAAATTCTATAGAACAATCATTTTTTGTCTCTTGTTGTAACTTACACAACTCATCTCTGTACTGGAATAGCTCAAATCTTCTAATACCGTATTATGGGACTGCTTTGTGGCTGTTTGTCAGCCCCCTTTTTTTCCTAGATGAAGGACACTCAAATGGTAAATAGAGTCTTGGTGTAGAGGGGGAGGCTGGTACAAAGGTTTCCTGGCACAAGGGGCCTATTTTTTGTTGTTCTTAGAAGCTTCTTTATTACATGTGATCTTAAAACTGTAATACATATATTACAACATGGGGATAACTTCTAGTCACTGATACAACACTTGTCATAGGAAGCTTGCAATTAGCTTTCTTATAATATAGATGTTTCTAAGTGAATTCATCAATTCATTCTTTGTGTGTGTGTGTGTGTGTGTGTGTGTGTGTGTGTGTGTGTGTGTGTTTTACTCTGTTGATTGTTTTATTGATGATAGTCTTTCGATCAGGTACTCAATTCCCTCCATCACTTCATTCTTTATAGGATGGGTGTCACTGCATTCAATGCAGTTTGCCCTAGATAAAACTGTTCTCCATGGCACTTGCAAGGTGTGTTCTTAGAAACCTCTGTATTTATAGGGCGCCTGGTTAAACATCTGACTTTTGACTCTTGATTTCGGCTCAGATCACGATCTCACAGTTCATGGGTTCTAGCCCTGTATCGGGTCCTGTGCTGACAGCATGAAGCCTCCTTGGGATGGATTCTCTCTCTCTCTCTCTCTCTCTCTCTCTCTCTCTCTCTCTCTGTTCCTCCCCTACTTGCTCGCTCTCTCTCAAAAATAAACCTTAAAAAAAAAGAAACCTCTGTATGACAAATGTACTTAAACACCTCATGCTTATTTAGTGGGTATCACTTCCATCCCTGATATATAACACCGTGTGAACACAGCTTGCAAATATCTTTCTTAAAAATATATTAGAAGTGTTCTTAAATGATTTAATGCATGCATTAAATAATGAGGGTTACTTCCACTCTCAATAATAAACTGGTCATAAAGAGAGATCAAGGGGTTCCTCTCTAAGGAAGCACCATTTACACCAAGAAGGAAAGAATACGGAAACTTCCAAGCAAAAAGCAAAGTGGTGGTGTGGGGAAAGAAGGAGTGTTTCAGACAGCAGTTACAAAGAAGGCGCTCAGAATATCCAGAGGAAGGAGTTCATGGCGTCTGGAGGATGCTGAGAAGTGGGGGAATGTGACTTGGGATGAGGTTGAGGAGAAAGGAAGGGAGGAGATCACGCGTTTGGATGGCTCATTAATGTTCCATTAATGCCAGATGTCTCATTAATAAATAGTTCTTGGAAACCAAGTGCCAAAAACAGTAACTTCAGCAGGTGACCAAGCACACCTTCAGTGCAGGTCACTGGGAAACAGTCCACGGAATTCAGAGACCTAAACGCTCTGTGGCTATTAGTTCTCACAATTGTGTGTGCTCTTCTCTGTTAACTCTGCCAAATTGTTAAACTATTTCTCCTTCCTGACACATACACATATGGATTGCTAAGAGTCAAGTGTCAAGAGAAGGTTCACTACCCTGCTACCTGGTATTTTACACTTTATGTGACAATACTAGGTGAAATAAGTTGTGGGACAAAATCACTCAAGCAGTATGATCTTAACTATGTACAAGAAAAAACAAGCAAACAAAAAAACAGACTAGAAAATAAGAGAGACAAAACACGCCCTCCCAAGCACATATGGCCAGTTAATTTACAATGAAAGAAGCCAAGAATATACAGTGGACAAATGGCAGTCTCTTCAAAAACATGGTATTGGGCAAACTGGATGGCCACAAGCAAAAGAATGAAACTGGATCCCTATTTTACATTATACACAAAAATGAACTCAACATGGATTAAAGACTTGAATGTAAGATCTGCAAGCATAAAACTCCTAGAAGAAAATACAGGCAGTAAGTACCTTGGCACTGGTCTTGGGAGTGATTTTTTTTTTTTGATCTGACTCCAAAAGCAAAAATAAGCAAGCAGGACGATATCAAACTAAAAACCTTCTGCACAGCAAAGAAAACCACCACCAAAATGAAAAGGCCGGCTGCTAAATAGGAGAAAATATTTGCAAATCATATCCAATAAGAAGTTAATACTCAAAATATATAAAGAACTCAGACAATTCAATAGCAAAAAAAAAAAAAAAATTCAATTACAAAATGAGCAGAAGATCTGAATCAACGTTTTTCCAAAGACATACAGGGGCCAGCAGTTACGTTAAAAGGTGCTCAATATCATCGATCAACAGGGAAATGCAAATAAAAACCTCACACCTGTTAGAATGGCTGTAATCAAAGAGACAAGAAATAACAAGTGTTGGCAGAGATGTGGAGAAAAGGGAACCTTTGTGCAATGGTAATGAGAATGCAAACTGGTGCGGTCACTAGGGAGGTTCCCCCAAAAATTAAAACTAGAAACACCATATGATCCAGCAATTCCACTTCTGAGTATCTATCTGAAGAAAATAAAAACAGTAATTCAAAAAGATACAAGCATTTTCATGCTCACTGCAGCATTATTCACAACAGCCAAGATATGGAAACAACCTCAGTGTCCACTGACCACTGAATGGATGAAGAGATGGCATATATACGCATATATACGCACAGAGTAATAATCAGATATAAAAAGGAATGAAGTCTTGCCACTTGTGACAACATGGAAAGACCCTGAAGGCATTATGGTAAGTGAACTGAGTCAGAGTAAAACAAATACCACATGCTCTCACTCAAATGTGGAATCTTAAAAACAAAAACAAGCTCATAGATACAGACAACGGATTGGACGGATTGGTGGTTGCCAAAAACAGGCGAATGGGTGAAAGAGCTCCAAAGTTATAAATGTC